GCGATTATGGTAAGGGCCGTTACATTTCCGACGAGTGCTTGCGGTGTTCGGCCAATCACAATGCACTGGGTCAGCTGGCCAATCAGAGCAGACTGCGCTTGTCGGAAGGAGGGACTTTGTAGAAAACTAAGTGTTTGAGAGAGGCGGGGCATAGAGGACCTACAATAATGTACAGTATTTGAAAAATAATGTGTTTTTTGAACATTAAAGCATGTCAGCATAATCTGTTACACCAAATAATGATCTTTAAAAAAGGATCATATGACCCCTTTAAAGAAAATAAACTTTATATATTCAAAATTGCTGAATGTAAACACATTAAATTGTGCTATATTATAATAAATCATTTAAATGTATACACACAACTTCTTAAAATATTACTTTATACAACATTGCTGAATTTTAACACTTATTATTAAACTCTTATAATGTATTTATTGCATAAAATATTATTATAGTAACTCTGCACAGCAATTCAATTCCCCATTTAAATTTCCCATTCATTATACTCTTCGTTGCAAGCATAAAGATAAACCAACATTTGGTTTCATACAGTTTAGGTACTTCAGTCAATTGTACAGTCAGGCAGTTATTCAGCAATCCATCAGATCAGCCGAAATAAAGCTATATGAATACCTGGCCTTTTTTTTTTTTTTTTAAGGTTTACTTTGAAATATGTTGATTGCACAAATGCAGGAACGTTTCAATAGCTGCCAAGCATTTAAAACAGTTTTTTGGGGGGAGGGTAAAGGCTTGGACAGAATACAGATCTTAATCAGAAAATGATGTGCATGCTCAGTTTTTAAGTAGCTGAAGAATGGTGGCTTCCCAGATGAGCATATGGAACAGATGATTTCAATATACAAATTATGTGACCACACTGAACATCAAAACTCCATTCGGAAACAAAATATCTCATGCACACACTAAACAAGGACACCATGCCCTGTTTCACAGGACTTTACAGCAAACCTAGTCTGCTCGTGCTGAGGGAGGATAAAAATAGAACACAACCCTCAGTCAGTCAAGGACCCTTCAATAATTAAAACTAATCTAATATATCTGATCAGAGTTGATGGCAAACCAGCATGCGGCATCTTCTCACTGCATTTCTAAAGACAAATATCATCCATCCAAAAAGCCAATGCATTTAATCAATAACTCAGAATCACGTGGGCTTGTTAATGCTGCCATTCCTCTTGTACTCTCGCCCTTGCATAAGCTTATCGAAACAGTATTAATGCGTCACATAATCGAAGATCAAGGCATAATGCATACGTATCTGCTCATAAATATTAATATTAATGTGTAGTTATAATGCACGCCTGGAAATACGGTAAGTCCTTCGGCCTTACAAGACTAAAAACTGCATTTTATCATCATGATTTCATCCTAAATCATCGACAGTGCGCGTAAACACAAATTGAAGTGTAAATGCGCATAAATCAAATGTGACGCATGGAGGAAGGACGCAATTACAGAGCGTCCTCACTGACTAACCTTGTTTGGAATCCATCTCGCTCATCTGCGGTCGGACAGCCAGGGCCAAGAACACACGGGAAGCACGCCGCACCAATGACAAGCGGCAGTTCCGGTCGAATTTGATGGCAGTTCCGGTCGAACGAACGGATCGGCTTCAAAATAAAAGTCTACCAACTCTCAGTCATACGCAGTGTTTGCTCAAACAATAATTGAAATATCGGTGACAGTGACATTTATTAAATAAATAAATAAACAAACGTTTGACCAGCTGACTTTGTTTTAACTAAATACAAAAGGTTGTGGCCAGAATTTATTAATGCTATTGAAATACGTCTCAGTATTTATTGGTTTTAAAAAGGTAATATTAAGTATTATTAGAATTTAAAATACCCGTTTTCTATTTTAATACATTTTAAAATGTCATTTATTCCTGTGATCAACGCTGAGTTTTCAGCATCATTACTGCAGTCAGTCACATGATCCTTCAGAAATAATTCTAATATGATGATTTGGTGCTCAAGAAATATTACTTATTCTTATCAATGATGGAAAAAAAAAAAGTTGTGCTGCTTAATATTTTTGTAGAAACAGTGATACTTCCCCCCCCCCAGGATTCATCGATGAATAGAAAGTTCAAAAGAACTTCTATTTGAAGAGAAAAAAAAAAAGTTGCATCCTTGTCACATTTGATCGATTTAATGTGTTCTTTGCTGAACAAATGTAGAATATTAAAAAATTATTTGACTGCAAACCTTTGAACAGATGTGCATATTAAATGTTTAACATTAACTGTCATTGCAGCAGAAATATCTAGAATGAATATATTAGCCTCAGGTGCTCAACTAAAGATAACCAGTTATTGTATAACGTTTCCTTAAAACTGAATAAAATTCAATTGGAACTCATGGGAGGCAAAATGACAAATCTAGACTCAAAATAAGCACAGCTCACCTTATCCTATAGTCAGGCACACTGTAGGTGTCTATCCAGGAAACCCTTTCATAAGCCAGCATTCAGGGTTCACAAAAGTTCAGATCAGACATCACCCTTCATTAAATGTTCCCAGCTTGATTTCATTGCCACAATAAGTGCCAACGTGCATAAACAATTTAAAGAGCATTGCCTCCCCTTCCAAGAATATCTACAACACAACGACAAAGTGCTTAATGATGCCAACACACAAAAAAATTATTATAAACAAATTGTTGCTTAAAGCTCCTCATGTTGCAATGACTCCTCAAGGCGCTGCGAATGACTCCGACACGCTGCATCATATTTTCTTTAACTTTTCAAAAATGCACTGAATTCAGATTATGCAGTCAGTTCAACATTCTGTGCAGCAAACAGGCAGTTTGCCAAGAGAATTCTCTGGCAGAAGGATACATGCTTGCCGTTGTAATATGCTTTGTAATCAAGACACCCAGACCATTTACTCAGCGCAACTAGAACATTCGCTCCCCCAAACACCTTTGCAAGCAAAACCTCAAAACCGAACTTACTCAGAGCTATACCTAACAACACTTATGAACAAAGCAAGCAGAAAAACCGCCTCTTCAGTCCATTTTCAGGCTTTTTAGGGCAAAACAAGAATGTACCCTGTTCTTTCCAGTGCTTTATCTCCATCCCTGAGGCCGTCGCAGAAGGCGTGTTATCTGAATTGGCGTGCATCAGTCATACATTCCAGTCGGCAGAAGAGGTGATCGGGGGTGAGGAAGGTGGCACGAGTCTCTGGCTGGGGCAGGACAGGACTGAAGGGTAGCGAGAGGCACTACGGCTCTCCTAGCAGAACTGCCCAATCACGTTCTGCAAAGGCCAGCACTGCTGAGGTCAGCTGACCACATTCACTGCTGAACGCTGTGTACTAGTAACATGAGGTTTTAGCACAACATCAGCTGTGTCGCTCTACAAACCGGGCACCGTTTGTGTTCCTCATACACAGAGTTTCATTTTCGAAATGCATTATTAATAATAACTTGATGTGGATGTACTTTTTGGCCTGTCCTCAGTGTTCCTATGAGCAAATGCGCACATTCTGAATAAAAATGAATACCGTATTGGCCCGAATATAAGACGGCCCCCCTTTTTCCAGATGCACCTTTTGGAAAAAGGTTTTTTAAAAACCAAATCTTGTTTTTTCCTCAGTAAACACATTTTGTCTTCAATTATTTTCATATTGCATATTTTTCCTATTTTAATTTTTGTTTTGAAAGTATGGTAAAAACTGGTAAAATGTACCAACAATCACATTTTAAAAATATACACTTTTTGATATACCATTAAAAAAAAAAAACAGGTATCCCATCTGAATTAGGACATTTAGGCTATCCGTTCTAATAGTAGCCTACCAAAATCTTATTAACAGTAGAAGTTAAATCTTACTGTAGTCTTCAAATCTGGGTACTGTCTTACGGTTTAAAATCACAAAGGGAGTTTGGTCCCATCAGGCTAACGTGACAGTCACGACTCATGCAGCTGTAAGCTTTTCTTATTCTTTCGTTTTTTTCTCACGATCTTTACAAAACGCATTACATTACGTATTTCATGGCACACTCGTTTTATGCGTATTTGGCGCCACCTATTGTTGTGGGTGTATTATTGACACGTCAAAGTCTAGACCCTGAATATAAGACGACCGCAATTTTTTTCCAAGAAAAAAACATTGTCTTATATTCGGGTCAACACGGTATATGGATATAAAAGCGAGAATTTTTTTGTAGAAACTTTTACATTTAAGAGCATCACATTTTCTTTACAGAAACATCAAGCACCATTATTATTACTAGAGGTCGACCGATGTATCGGTTTTGCTGATTAATCGGCACCGATAGTTGATTGCTGGAACTATCGGTTATCGACAAAAATCCATGCCGATAGTTTTCCGGGTTGCGTCCATTGCTGGAGCGGCTGAGAAGGGTCTGCTGTCATTACACTGTGCGAGAGCAGCCTCTAGTGGTTGAAATCACTGACAGCACGTGCTATATATGTTTAGACACGTGATACTGCACGCTGAACAGAGCGGGAAACTTCAGACGGGGATTTAAATGCAGCCGACAGAAAATCCTGCCGCGCCACTGAGCGCCATTCACATAGTTTTCCTTTAAATTACATTTTATCGGTCCCGAATCGTTGTTAATGTACATGATGAATTGTGTATTGTGCATAAACAGTGAAAAGGGGCGGTTCGGCGACGCACAAGCACCTCCTTGCGTGCAATGTTACGCGCCTGATTAGGGGCGTGGTATGCAAGTTTGCGGGTATTTTATTGGGTGAGCGGAGAAAACGGGGCGGGGCAGCTGTGACTACATGCTTTCTCTTCCTGAGCGAAAGTGTGGAAAATGGCTGAGTGATGCTTTTCAAATAGTTTTAAAATTCACAGCGGTTTGAAAATGCGCTGATGAGCTTACCTTTGTTCCTATATGTAAATGATAATTATATGTTCTTAATTTATGTCATATGTAGCCTAGCTATTGTTTAATCATCAATATATTAGTAGTCAACATTTGAAGTGGATCAAAAAAGTTCATCAAAGTTGTCCTAAGACAAGAACACATTTTGGTTTTATATTTTAGGACAACTTTGATGAAATGTTTTGATCCACTTCAAATGCTGACTACTGTATATATATATATATACACACACAAACAAATTAAACGTGATATGATACAAAACATGAATTAAAAAAAGAGATACAAATCATAAACATACAAAAAATATATCTCTAAAGGTTCGATAGGCTGTTTAAGATTTTTTTCTGACTATTATTTTATATTTCATCTCAGGCTTTATAGGATTAAGGCTGTTCTGCTATGCGCCCGAAATTTCTGAACATTGTGTACTTGGAACACATATGTAATGTAAATGCTATCTTTGTCACACATGCAACACAACAAAGGAATCCAGGTGGATCCAGTGAACTGAGCCATCTAGTGAAATTACAAATTAATTTATACCCTCATGATATCCCAATAGATATGTCTCGGGTCTTTCCTTTAGTGCGAGTGAAAACTGTAAGTCTGATCACTTGAAAAATGTATAGTGCACTTAAAACCCTTAACAAAAGCAATATGAATAGTGATGCAAGTCTTAGCAAGCACTACTATGGTCAAAAATGGCACAAATTGTGAGCTACTGATCATCAGCTGTTTTAACACATTAAGTTGATCTTTTAAGACTTATTGATATTATTGCAGATTCTGGTGAGTCAGTGCGTGTCTGCTGGGCAGATGTCATCATCTGTCCTCTGTGCTGTAAAAAGGAGACAAAGGCATATTTGAGAGATGGTTTGTCCTCTCCAGATACAGCAGTCTCCATTGTCATCCAAGTGCCAATGGGGAAGCAAAGTGCCACAGCAGTTCTGCAGGGTCTTTGTGCTGCGCTGGAGACATGGCTGACTGATATGATAACCTGCCCTTTGCCTATGATTGATTAATCGTAGAGATGTTTGGTGCACATCTTCTAATCTGGCCTTCTAGTTCTTTCTAATAGTATTTTCTAGTTTTTTTGGTTTATGCAAAAAAGACAAATCCATCTTATGTAAGAGAAAGGATGAAATAATATATCTTTGGATCGCAGAACAAAACCATTATACAGTTAAAAGATTAGCTTTAATCACCTTACTCAAGTTGCTGATTCATGTAGCAGTTATCTTGAAATCCATAACAGTGAGTCAATGGAGTGCAATACTTATTTCCCAGAACACAGAGTGCAATCATCTTAGTCATATAAGCAGGGAAAAAAGGGAGTCTCCCAGAGCTTTCTTAAACATTCGCAGTCATCATGATCTTTGATTGTTTCATTCATCTTTGATTCATTGTAATTTATATAATAATTTGTGTTATGTTCTAATTAAGCAATCAAGGTCACTTGTAGGCACTCAGTGTCACACAATATTCTGGATAAAGGGGCGGTTTCCCAGACAGCGTTTAAATAAAGCCAGGAGTAGGCTTAATCTAGAATAGTTAATCATAAAATGGCTTTCTGAAACACAGATTAAGAACAAATTACTAACACATGGACTATGGAGTCCTGAACTATAATAAACCAGATTAAAACCAATTTTGAATTAGCATGACAGAGGTTGCCTTTAAATGTAATGAACCAAAGCTTAAAATTGTATGGAACTGAGAAGCAAACCCAAGGAAACAACGGAAGCAGAAAAAAGGACTACAATTCAAAAAACTTTCCTGAACAAGAGGAAACTTTTTAAAGCAAGCAAAATAAACTGCACACATCAGCTGTGGAATAAAAGAAAAGAAATGCCTAGACATTTGTTTGTAGTTAATTATTGCATACATTCTTGCAATTAGTTGTTGTTGTCATTTATTATGTTATACATAAAGCAGCTATTATACTGAACAAAATTATAAACGCAAAACACTTTTGTTTTTGCCCCCATTTCTCATGAGCTGAACTCAAAGATCTAAGACTTTTTCTATGTACACAAAAGGCCTATTTCTCTCAAATATTGTTCACAAATCTGTCTAAATCTGTGTTAGTGAGCACTTCTCCTTTGCCGAGATAATCCATCCACCTCTCACAGGTGTGGCATATCAAGATGCTGATTAGACAGCATGATTATTGCACAGGTGTGCCTTAGGCTGGCCACAATAAAAGGTCACTCTAAAATGTGCAGTTTTATCACACAGTCACAGATGTCGCAAGTTCTGAGGGAGCATGCAATTGGCATGCTGACTGCAGGAATGTCCACCAGAGCTGTTGCCCGTGAATTGAATGTTCATTTCTCTACCATAAGTTGTCTCCAAAGGCGGTTCAGAGAATGTGGCAGTACATCCAACAGGCCTCACAACCGCAGACCACGTGTAACCACACCAGCCCAAGACCTCCACATCCAGCATCTTCACCTCCAAGATCATCTGAGACCAGCCACCTTGTTGAGCCATTCATCTACGACCATCACCTCATGTTGCAGCATGATAATGCACGGCCCCATGTTGCAAGGATCTGTACACAATTCCTGGAAGCTGAAAACATCCCAGTTCTTGCATGGCCAGCATACTCACCGGATATGTCACCCATTGAGCATGTTTGGGATGCTCTGGATCGGCGTATACGACAGCATGTTCCAGTTCCTGCCAATATCCAGCAACTTCGCACAGCCATTGAAGAGGAGTGGACCAACGTTCCACAGGCCACAATCAACAACCTGATCAACTCTATGCGAAGGAGATGTGTTGCACTGCGTGAGGCAAATGGTGGTCACACCAGACACTGACTGGTTTTCGGACCCCCCTGGACACACCAATACAGTAAAACTGCACATTTTAGAGTGGCCTTTTATTGTGGCCAGCCTAAGGCACACCTGTGCAATAATCATTCTGTCTAATCAGCATCTTGATATGCCACACCTGTGAGGTGGATGGATTATCTCGGCAAAGGAAAAGTGCTCACTAACACAGATTTAGACAGATTTGTGAACAATATTTGAGACAAATAGGCCTTTTGTGTACTTAGAAAAAGTCTTAGATCTTTGAGTTCAGCTCATGACAAATGGGGGCAAAAACAAAAGTGTTGCGTTTATAATTTTGTTCAGTGTATATATATAGAGAGAGAGAGAGAGATAGAGAGAGAGAGAGTTATGTTCCGAATTATTGACACCCTATGATCAAAAAGGGTTGTGAAAATAAATATGTAATGTTAATCCTTTTGATTTTTCTAAATAAATAAAAATCACAAAAATCTAACTTTTCAACATCACATTATGAAAATATTTGTTTTTCTCTAATACACATTGGCCACAATTATTTA